TCCAGCAGCAGCTCCAGCATCTCCAGCAGCAGCTCGCCCTCCAGCCGCAACTGCCCCTCCTCCCTCCTCCGGTTTCCCAGCAGCAGCCCTTTCCTACCTGGACTGCTGGGAGTGCTGCCTCTGCAGCCCATCTCTCGGGTGCATCCCCGGCGCCGTCTGCAGGTGGCAGTGTGACCGCTTTCCCTTCCTCTGGCTTTGTTGGTTTATTAGGTCAACCTGAATCTGTTGCATCTCCCATGTACCCTTCTTCTGCTAATGAAACTTCGTTCCAATACTTTGCCTCACCTTCCTCCACAATTGACTTCGTTCTGGACAGTGGAGCCACTGACACTGTCCCTCGCGACGCTGGTACACTGCGCCCTCTCCCCACACCAACCTCCCTCCTCGGCGCTGATAGCGGTTTTTCCATCTCTTGTCACAACACCTCCAGCCTTCCCTGTCCTCTCTTTCCCTCAGGTACTGTCACCGGTCTCCACATTCCCTCCCTTCGTACTAACCACCTCTCCCAAAGGTCCCTCCAACAAGCCATGATCACCACTCTCATCCCAGGTGGTGCTAACCATTGTGACCTATACCAAACCTCCACAGGTCGTTTTCTCGCCCGTATTCCCTATTGTCCTCGCTCCCGTCTGTACACCCTTCGGGTTCCCCGCCCCCTCACCTTCCAAGTTGCCTCCCCCCCCCCTCCTTCCCCCCCCCCCCCCCTCCCCTCCCCTCCCTCCCCCACTAACCCACCCCTCCCCCCCCGCCCTCCTGACTCTGACTGTTCCTGTCGCTCCCTCTCCACCCCACCATCCTCCTCCATCACACGCTAGGCCAACCCAACTTCGCTACTCTGCGCTCCTCTGTCTCCTCCGGTCTCCTTCACGGTCTCCCCTCCTCCCTCCCTCCCCTCCCCAAATCCCCTGCCCCCCCCTGCACCGTCTGCGTTCAGAGCAAGCTCAAGCAGCAGTCGCACCGGAGCTCCCCCTCCGCTGCTGCGCAGCCACTTGATCTTGTTCACATGGACCTATGGGGCCCTAATCCCTCTCCCACTCGCCAGGGCCATCGCTACCTTCTCGTGCTTGTTGATGATCACAGTCGGTACTCGTCTGTCTCTCTCCTTCGGACGAAGGCGGATGCCCCGGCTGCGATCATCGCCTGGCTCGAGTGGGCAAACACCCATTTTGGGCGCCCTGTTCGCCGCCTTCACTCTGATGGAGGTGGTGAGTTCCTCAACAACCAAGTCTCCTCCTATTGTCAGTTTCGTGGCATCCTTCAGACTTACACCCTCCCTCACTCCCCACAGCAGAACGGCGTGGCTGAGAGTCGTGTTCGAGAGATCACCAAAACAGCCCGGTGCTTGCTTGTCCACGCCTCCTGCCCCCCTTCTCTTGGGGCTACGCCCTCCTTCATGCCGCCCTCCTTACTAACCTTTACCCTCACCCCCTTCTCCCCTCCATCACCCCCACTGAGCTGTGGACGAAGGACAAGCCTGATGCCTCATCACTTCGTGTCTGGGGCTCTAAGGCACATGTCCTCATTCACCCCTCTGACCGCTCCCGTTCCATGGGAAAGCTTGCCCCTCGCACCCTTCCTTGCATCTTCCTTGGTCATAATCCCTCCTCCCCCGACTACCTTTTCCTCCACCCCCCATCCGGTCGTCTTATCCGCAGTAAGGATGTGGTCTTTGACGAGTCCACTCCCTACTACTCCTCTCCCACATCTACTGACCCACTCCCCCCTCTCACCCGTCCCCTAGTCTGGTCTGACACCACCCCTCCCCCACTACTCCCTCCTCCCCCCATTCTCCCACCCCCCCCTTCTCCGCCGTCCCAGTCCCATGGTGCCCCTCCCTCTTCTGGTGACATCTTTGACCCGGAACCTCTGTCTTCTCCTGTCTCCCCCGCTCACTCCTCTCCTAGTACCCCTCCCCCCCCCCCCTTCCTCTCCCTCGCCACGAATCCGTCCTCCCCCTTCCCGCACCATACTCACCCGGTATCCCCACACCAGGTCACGTGACGGTATCCTTGGTGCACCGCCTCCCGTTACCCTCTCTACCTCTACACTCCCCCCTCTCTCCCCCCTCCTTCGTCACTTCTTCCAAGCTGTCTTGCATCAAGCCCCTCATGCAACAGCCCCCTCAGCTACCTCCTCTCCAGCAGCGGCACCAGTAGCAGCTCCAGCAGCGACGGGACCGGAAGCGGCAGCAGCAGCAGCAGCGCCAGCAGCCGCAGCACCAGCAGGACCAGCAGCGGCAGCAGCAGCGGGAGCGGCATCGGTAGCAGCAGTGGGACCAGCAGCGGCACCAACAGCGGCACCAGCAACAGCACCAGCAACAGTACCAGCAGCGGCACCAGCAGCGGCACCAACAGCGGCACCAGCAGCGGCACCAGCAGCGGCACCAGCAGCGGCACCAGCAGCAAGTACCAACAGCGGCACCGGCAACGCCTCCACCAGCAGCACCAGCAGCGGCACCAGCAGTCATCCGTGCCTTCCACACCTCCCTCTCTGAGGACTCCCATGAAGAGTTCCTTGACCTCCACCTTTATGACCCCTCGCTTCTACCCATCACGTTCGACCTCTCCGGCACACCTGTCTTCGCCTTCTCCTCTGCTCCCTCCATTTTCGTTCCTACCACGTACGAGGAGGCAATGGCGTGCCCTGACGCTCCGCTATGGCTCGCCGCCATCATCAAGGAGCTGGAGGCCTTTATCGGCAACTCCTCTTTTGTCGATGTGCCTCGCCCTCCCGCCCCTACGAATGTGGTGAAAGGAAAGTGGGTGTTTCGCGTCAAGCAGCTGCCAGGGGAGCCGCCCGTCTATAAGGCTCGTTACTGCGGCAAGGGGTTCACGCAGCGGTATGGTTTTGACTTCTTCGATACCTTCTCCCCTACTGCCAAGCCTGCTACTGTTCGTGCCGTGCTCGACCTCGCCGCTCGCCTCAATATGGAGATCCACTCGATGGACGTTTCTAACGCCTTCCTACAAGGCGTCCTCCGCGAGCTTATCTACATGGAGCGTCCAACCGGCTTTCACCTCCCCTTCCCAGCTGACTCTGTCTGGCAGCTGCGTCGACCGGTGTATGGGCTCCGACAGGCCCCGAGGGAGTGGCATGCTAAACTTGCCGCCACCCTTGCTGAACTTGGGTTCCACACCTCCCGCTCTGACGCCAGCCTCTTCCTCCGCACCTCCCCCTCCCCATTTTACATCCTTGTGTATGTCGATGACATGATTCTGCTCACTGCCGACCTTGGAGAGTTGGAGCATGTTAAGGCTGAGTTGGGCACCCGTCTCAAGTGCAAAGACTTGGGAGAGCTGCAGCATTATCTGGGCATGACCATCACCCGTGACCGCTCCGCCCGCACCATCTCACTCTCCCAGGGTCATTACTAGCAGCAGGTCTTGGAGCGGTTTGACATGGCCCGCGGCGGCGCCCAACATACACCTCTTTCTGTCGGGCACCACCTCTCTCCACCCACCTCCCCCTCCGCCTCCTCTCATCCTTATCCCGAGCTCATCGGCTCCCTCATGTACACCATGGTTTCCACTCGCCCTGACCTTGCCTACCCCATTAGCGTCCTCGCTCGGTTTGTTGGCGCTGGCAAGCATACGGCTGAGCACTGGCAGGCTGCCAAGCGCGTCCTCCGGTACCTTCGTGGCACCAAGGACTATGTCCTTACCCTTGGCGGCCCTTCCCCACCTCTCCTCAGCGGCTACAGTGACTCCTCCTGGGCTGACTCCCGACCAGACCGTCGCTCCTCCCAGGGCTATGGCTTCTCTCTTGGCAGCGGCCTCATCAGCTGGCGTTCCACGCGCTCCTCGGCTATCGCCCTCTCGTCCTGCGAAGCCGAGTTGTATGCCGCCACCATGGCTGCACAAGAGGCTCGCTGGCTCTCCTTCCTTCTTGAGGAGCTAGGTGCCCCCCAGCGCTGCCCCACCATTTGGTGTGACAACGCCAGCACCATTCACCTCACGAAGGATGCTGTGTTTCACGGGCGCTCCAAGCACATTGAGCTCCGTCATTTCTTCATTCGCGGTCTTGTTCAGGCTGGGCGCCTGCGGCTCGACAAGGTTGACTCCGCGGCCAACCTTGCCGACATCTTCACAAAAGCTCTTCCTCATGCGGCTCACTCTTCACTAATTCGTCTCCTTGGCCTTACTCCTCCGAAGTTGGTCCCCGCTTCTTGATTGTAGCCTTCTAGCCTTATGCATGTTGGGGGGTTGTGTTGTAATTCCATATTTTATACAACATGCATAGGCTAGACTTAGATGTGTAGCACTCTTATAAATTGGGGGGTTGGTTAGTGTACCCTCCAACCATATTTTGTGGTTGGTGGGGATTGGTCCTTACCTCAACCAATCCCAACCAACACATATTTTGTGGTTGCTTGGGCCATAAGCAAGCTCACCCATTGGCCAACTTATTGGCCAATAGGGTAAGCTTCCTTCTCATCTTTCCCTTGCTCATTGCTTGTACTAAAGAGCCTTTTGGCTCATTATTCAGTGCATCAATTCTCTCTCTTCTAACACACATTTCCCCGTCCCCTCTCTCCAACCTCCCCACACAGCCCATGCATTCAACTCAACGCACCATGTGGCGCCCACCTGCCCTCGGCACAACGAGTCCCCTCTGCCTCCCTCCTCCTCGCCCTCCCACCCCCACCTCGCCTCCTCTCCTCCTCCCCCTCCTTCCCCGCCCCACCTCCTCCTCTGCTTCCCCTTCCCCTGCCCCTGCCCCTGCCCCTACATCCCCTCCCCCTCCTCCTACCCCTACAAACACCACCGTATCCCCTCCAACCCCCTCATCCGCCCCCTCCTCAACCTCTCCCTTCACCTTTACCCCCCACTCCTCAACACACTTGTTGCCCTCCGCTTTGGCTCCCACCTCTTGTTCCGCCCCCTCTTCCCTCGCACCCGCGCTGCCCTGCTCACTCGCCCCTCCCGTCTCGCCCCCCTTCCCCTGCACATCCTGCCCACCCTTGCCACCCTCACTGCCCTCACCACCCTCCCTGCTCACCCTCACCCCTTCCTCGCCCAACACCCCACGAGCTGGCCTGCTGGCCTGTCCTGCCCTGCTGGCCTGTCCTGCCCTGCTGGCCTGTCCTGCCCTGCTGGCCTGTCCTGCCCTGCTGGCCTGTCCTGCCCTGCGGGCGCAGCCCCCACGAGCATCGCAGCACGAGCATCTGTGCTGCCACTCTCACCACCACGCCTGGCAGCAAGGCCGGCGCCCCTGCCAACAGAATCTGAGACGCCATTTCTATGTGGGACGGCAAGCGCACTCACTCTTCCCTGCTCCTGCTCCGCCTCCTGCTGCCACTGCTCGCCCCCCTCCTTGTCTCTCGCCAATGGAAGCGCCTCCAAAGGCGCGCTAGGCTCTCCACCTCGCAAACCCTCTCTTCCCAAACCCCTCTTTCCGAGCACCGGTTCCCCTTCATGCGTGTCAGAATCAGTGGCGCCAGCAGCAGCAGTGCGTCTGTGAGCCTTAGTGACCCCACCGGCAGCACCACGAGCACCTTGTTGCGCCTGGGGTACCAGCACACCCACGCCCATCTCCCTTGAATCACTGCCCACAGCTGTGTCAGTGGGAGAAGTTTCGCTGTGCTCCAATGCCCTCCCCCCAACACCCTGCCGCAACTCACCTCTGCCTAATGATTCCACTCCATTATCCCTGTCACCATCCCCATTCCCATCCAAATCCCCGTCACCATCATCACCACCACCACAATCCCCATCCCCATCCCCATCCCCAACACCATCCCCATCACCATCACCATCACCATCCCCATCACCATCACCATCCCCACCACCACCTCCACCTCCACCACCAGTGCTAACAGGCATGCTTCTAGCCCAAAACTCATGCCCACTTGTCGTCCCTGGCAAACCCTCCTCATCCTCTTCTCCCCACTCGCCGTTTTCCCCTTCCTCTTCATTTACCTCCTCTTTTCCGTTTCCCTCCTCCTTCCCCTCATTCCTCTGCTCGGGTTCCCCTTGCATTCTCTCCCCCTCGCGCCCCTCTCCCACCAACGCCTCCCCATCCGCGCCTGCTGACGGCACATCCTCTCCCCCATCCACTCCTGCTGCACCTGCACCGCGCACTGCTGGAGACACTGCTGCTGGTGCGGACTGCACTGCAACTGCAGCGGGTGCAGCTGGCACTGCGGGTGCAGCTGGTGGTGCCGATGCGAGTGTGGCTGACAACAGAGGGGTTGCTGAAAGAGCCGCTGCTGCTGCTGCTGGTGCTGCTGCTGCTGCTGCTGGTGCTGCTGCTGCTGCTGCTGCTGCCAGTGCCGCATGTGCAACGGGTGCAGTTGAAGCTGGTGCGGGTGCAGGTGGTGGGGGTGCGGGCAGTGGAGCTGCCTCGGGTGGGCGGAAGATGGATGGGGGCGCAGGGCTCTTCCTCCTCAGAAGGTCCAGAGCCGTCATCTGGGCAGATGGCGGTGGTGCAGGCAGGGGTTGGTTGGGTTGAGAAAGTACACGAATTCACTTCAGGGTTGATTCACAGGGCAAATTTTGGCACAGTAACAGAGCGGGTAATATTGGCATGACGAACCCAGGGATGACTGGAGAACCAGTTGCGATTGATGGCCAACGAACCTAACCAAGGGGGTGGGGGAACGAGGGCAGGGGGTGCAGCAATTTGCAAGCAGCACACATTGGTGGGATGACTCACTTTGGGGGAGGAGGAGGCAGTGGTGGTGCTGTCCTTGACCTCCCCTGCCTTGCTGCGCTGCCATGCGCTCGCCCCTGATACCAGCATCATCGCCCCCCTGTGATGGCACCGCCCCCTGTGATGGCACCGCCCCCTGTGATGGCACCGCCCCCTGTGATGGCACCGCCCCCTGTGATGGCACCGCCCCCTGTGATGGCACCGCCCCCTGTGATGGCACCGCCCCCTGTGATGGCACCGGTCCCCGTGATGACACAGGCACAGCCTGTGTGTTGGAAGTGAGGGTTGAGCTCACACCACCCGCATGGCTGATAGAGGCAGCTTCCAGCCGCCTCACGTTGGCCTCCCCTCCCCCACTGCACTCCCCTGCTGCTGCTGTCCCGCTCCTCTCTGCCCCAGGCCCCACCACTGCTGCACGATCGGACCCACCCTCCTCCTCTCTTCCTGCTTCTTCTTCTTCCTCTTCCCCTTCCTCTTCCCCTTCTGCTTCCTCCTCCCCTTCTTCGTCTTTCTCCTCTCCCTCATCATCCTCTCCCTCATCATCCTCTCCCTCATCTCCCCTATCACCATCTCCCCAGTTATCTCCTCCCTTCTCCCCATCCTCGTTTCCCCCCCCTCCACCTCCTCCGCCCCACTCACCGCCCCCCTCGCCCTCCTCACCGCTCCCCCCATTATCATTACCTCCGCGTCTCTCCTCTCCCCTTCCCCCATCCCCCTCGCCCGCATCAGATCCCCCTTCCTGCGCCCCCTGTTTCTCCTGCCTGCCCCGTTTCCCCCCCTCTTCCCCTTCCCCTCCCACTTCCGCTTCTCCTCCGTCTTCCCTTTCCCCTCCCACTTCCTCTTCTCCCCCCTCTTTCCCCTTTCCCATTGCAGCTGCCCCTGCCACTTCTTTTTCTCCCCTCTCGTCCCTCTCTTCCATTACACCTGCCCCCGCCTCATCTGCTATCACACTCACCAGAGGGTCAGACGGAGAGTGTGTCTTGAGACTCGCAGCATGCACTGATGCATGCACATCTGGAGCCGTATGAAGAGCAGCGTCAGGAGGAGCATCACCATCGACTGCATTGGCGTACGTATCAGCATCCCCACCATTCTCCACGACACTTGCTCCTGTCACGGCATGCCTGCCAGCAGCAGCACAAGCAGCATCTCGGGCACTGGCGTGCACCCAAGGCCCGGCACCAGCTCCAGAAGCAGCTCCCATGGCGCTTGCAATGCTGGCAGTTGCAATGTCGACAGACGCAACACTGGCAACAGCAACGGTAGCAGTGGCGGTACCAAGAGCACCACTGGCAGCAACGGTGGCCCGATTGGGACGGGCAAGGCATGTGGCAGGGGGTGGTGAGGGGGGACTGCAGGTGGCACGCGGGGAGGAAGGCAAGTCTGTGAAAAGCGCTCTGGCTGTGGAGGAGGGTACCCGACGACCTGAGAATTGCTGTCCCAGCACACACCCTGCTGCTGCTACGGCTATTGCTGGTGCTGCTGCTATCGCTGGTGCTGCTGCTGCTACTGCTGCCACTGCTGCAGGCACTGATGCTGATGCTGCTCCTTCTCTAACTGATCCAATAGAGGCAGCCGCCCATGCTTCATCCAGTGGCATGCTGCCACGTAGCATACTGCCACGTGGCATGCTGCAACGGTTGGACTGCTGGCTTCCATTCACTGGCCTCACTCCCAGAAGCCCAAGCTGCTTGTCGTCTACAGCAGCGCCTCCTGCCACATCCAATGGGCATGAGGACAGCATGGCTGCAGTGTTTGTGAGCGATCTTTGAGACTGATCAAGAAGCGGCACATCCTTGGAGGCACCACCTGCCATCACATTCAACGGGCATGCATGCAGCGTGGCTGCAGCCGGCAGCCCAGCGCTCGTCCCTTGGTTCTCAGAACTGGTCGAACCAGTCCAGGCCGCCGCTGTCAAGCTCGCCCCCCCCACGTGACAAATCCTCCAGCCCGATCTCACCATAGTCACAGTTAAAGGCTTCGTTGTAGTCACCCTCTCCGTCCCCTGCAAAGCAGATTGCATCTCCTGCTGCTGCTGCTGCATCTGAGATTGCAACCTGCTCGCGTGGGAGGGAAGAAGGCTCGTTGCTGCTTCCGACGATGCCTGTGGTGCCTGTGGCGGTGATACCGGTGCTGCTACTGTAGGGGGGGCACAGCCGTTTCCCGACCTCTTGTTGTTGCTGTCTGTGCCGGTCTGTAAGTCAAAGCAGACGACAGTGTCTGAGCGCTGATTGCTGTTCATGCCGCACCTCTCTTCCTTGCTTGGAGCATTAGGTGCATACATGGACGGCTGCTTGAAATCCTGTACTGCAAATTGTTGTTGTTGCTGTGGCTGCTGCTGCAGCTGCTCTATTTGTTGTTGCTGGTGCGCTTGCTGTTGCGTTAGTTGCTGCTGCCCCAGGGAGAATCCTTCCAGCTGCTGCTCCTCGCGCTTCACAAACCCAAACGGTGGGCTCACAGCGTCCAGGAACGCACCCCCCACTCCCATCACCATGCCGCCTGGGGAACTCACTACACCAGGCGGAGGGCTCACCACCTGAGATCTCACCTGAATTACCTCCTGCTGCCCCTGTGCTTGCGCCTGTGCTTCCCGCTCAGCCTGCCCCTGCCCCTGCCCCTGCGAGTCCTGGGCTGCTGGAGTGCAGGAGGAGTGGAGGGCACGGCGCACCCCAGAGCTCCTCTCCACCTCCGCCTCTGCTGCCGCCCGCCACTGCACCCGCTGCCTCTGCTGCTGCGCCTCCAGCATATGCTCGCTGCCAAACACACCTTGCTGTTGCTGTTGTTGTTGTTGTTGCTGCTGCTGCTGCTGCTGCTGCTGCTGCTGATGCTGTTGCAACAGATTGTGCTGAGAAGACATGTCACTTTGCTGCTGCTGCTGCTGCTGCTGCGTGGCTGCCATGATCTGCTGGGCGGCAAGGCTCTGTGTGGCGGGCAAAGGAAGGAGGTGTGCTCCGCTGCTGCTTGTGAACCCAGCGCCCTGCAGGGGGACGTCCGAAAGCAAGGAGTGGGATGGGGCGAGGGGTGGGGAGAGGGCAGATTAGCAAGACAAGGCACAAAAGATGAGGAGCGAAGAGGTAAATGAGGGGAGACGAAGCAAGGGAGTGAAAGAATAGGGTGAGAAAGAGTAGCAGGAGGCAGAGGGCAGCACGTTAAGAAAGCAGCACGTGGGAGAGAGCAGCACGTGGGAGAGGAGCCAAAGAAGCTGGAGAAAGAGCAGCTGGGCTGGGCTCACAGCACTCACAGCATGGCAGCTCATAGCATGGCAGCTCATAGCATGGCAGCTCATAGCATGGCAGCTCATAGCATGGCAGCTCATAGCATGGCAGCTCATAGCATGGCAGCTCATAGCATGGCAGCTCATAGCATGGCAGCTCATAGCATGGCAGCTCACAGCATGGCAGCTCATAGCATGGCAGCTCATAGCATGGCAGCTCATAGCATGGCAGCTCATAGCATGGCAGCTCACAGCATGGCAGCTCACAGCATGGCAGCTCATAGCATGGCAGCTCATAGCATGGCAGCTCACAGCATGGCAGCTCACAGCATGGCAGCTCATAGCATGGCAGCTCATAGCATGGCAGCTCATAGCATGGCAGCTCACAGCATGGCAGCTCACAGCATGGCAGCTCATAGCATGGCAGCTCACAGCATGGCAGCTCACAGCATGGCAGCTCATAGCATGGCAGCTCATAGCATGGCAGCTCATAGCATGGCAGCTCATAGCATGGCAGCTCATAGCATGGCAGCTCATAGCATGGCAGCTCATAGCATGGCAGCTCATAGCATGGCAGCTCATAGCATGGCAGCTCATAGCATGGCAGCTCATAGGTGGGCGTCTCATTGCATGGCAGCTCACAGCATGGCAGCTCATAGCATGGCAGCTCATAGCATGGCAGCTCATAGCATGGCAGCTCATAGCATGGCAGCTCACAGCATGGCAGCTCACAGCATGGCAGCTCATAGCATGGCAGCTCATAGCATGGCAGCTCACAGCATGGCAGCTCACAGCATGGCAGCTCATAGCATGGCAGCTCATAGCATGGCAGCTCATAGCATGGCAGCTCACAGCATGGCAGCTCACAGCATGGCAGCTCATAGCATGGCAGCTCACAGCATGGCAGCTCACAGCATGGCAGCTCATAGCATGGCAGCTCATAGCATGGCAGCTCATAGCATGGCAGCTCATAGCATGGCAGCTCATAGCATGGCAGCTCATAGCATGGCAGCTCATAGCATGGCAGCTCATAGCATGGCAGCTCATAGCATGGCAGCTTACATAGCTGGGAGCTGCAGGCAGCATGTCAACGGCAGCAGGGAGAAAGCCACCTGGCGCGCAGCTTTGCTGCTGCCTCCCCATCGCCTGCTGCGCTGCTCCCCCCTGCCCTGCCATCACACGCCCCTCACTCTCTGCCATGCCGCCCTGGTTGGGCAGCATCCCTGCCTGACTAACCACCGCACCACCTGGCCCTGCACCCACGCTCATCGGATTCTGCATCTGCATCACGCCCCCTGCCCCTTGCACGGCAGTGCCCCCCTGCCCCTGCACTGCTGCCTGCCACACCTGCGCCGTCTCTGCTCCTCCTTGCCGCAGTCCTGCCCCCTGTGCGGCGCTCCACTGCTGCTGACCTGGCGGCACATAGCCTTGACTCGCTTGGCCTCGTTGACTTGGTTGACCGGGTTGATTGAATGGTTGGCTCTGCTCTTGAAGGATATGCTGAGACATTTGACCCATCTGACCCTGTTGACCCATCTGACCCTGTTGACCCATCTGACCCTGTTGACCCATTTGACCCTGTTGACCCACTTGACCCTGTTGACCCATCTGTCCCTGCTGCCCCAATTGACTGTGCTGACCTAGGGGCTGCTGCACCATACACTGCCCTGTAGTCTGCACACCCACTTGCTGCCCATACACTTCACTCCTCAGAACCCCTTCAGTTGGCCTCTGACCGCCCATTGCTAGGGAATGCCCCTGCCCTGCTTCCCCCCCCGTCCCTGCTGCCACACCACCACCTGCCGCTGCGCCCACTGTCAAAGATTCGACCGCTGATGAGCTCACCGCCTTCGGTGCACCGAATCCCGGTGCCTGAGCTGAGCCCGTAAGACCTGTCCCCTCGCCCATTACACCGGACCCCTCACCTCTGCCTCCTGCTACTCCTGCCGCCCCTGCCGCTACCGAACCTCCTCCAGGATCGGTTCTCTCCGCCGCATACCCCCGGCCTGTCTGGAACAAGGGCCGGAAAGTTGCCGAGCCTGGGCTCGCCTGCACACCCAGCCCTCGCTGCACTCGCCCCACCGAGCCTGGGCTTGCTGCTACGGCCGGACCTGGACTGGCAGGCACGGCCGAACCTGGGCTAGCAGGCACGGGCATGGCAGCATGACCAATGGATGCCGGCGTGGTGGGCGCGCTGCTGGCCGTCGGATAAACCACCGTGCTCTGTGGAGCCGTTGATGAGCTGTGGTGGGCAGACGGCATGGCGTGATGGGGCGTTGACATGCTAGTGTGCGGTGTATTCACAACCATAGCACCACCAGGACCATGCATGTGGGGCACATGAGGCATGTGGGGCATGGGGGCGGCATGGGACATGCGGGTGACATGGGAGGTGCCGCTTCTGGGAGTGGTGGACATGGCGCCCTGCTCCACCTCCCCTGCCGGCCCGCTGCACATGCCAAAGTCCCCCGACACTGACACTGACCGTGATGCTCCCCCTGCTGCATCCGATGCTGCTGCCGAACCTGCCACCGAACCTGAGGGATGGGGCAGTGTGGGAGAGGAGAAGTTGAGATGTGCAGGAGGAGGGCGGCATGAGGAACGTTGAGGAAGCTTGGGGGGAAAGAGAACTTCAAGCTTTTAGCCCATTCGAAATGTTAGTGAGGGAGAGTGCTGGTTGAGTTGGCGTGTGTAGGGAAGACGATCATCAGTTCACAAGGCATGGGATTGCAAGACTGATGAGGAGGGACTGCGTGGCCAAATGTCAGAGAGAATCACGAAGAGAAGAACCCAGGCACGGGGCAGAGCAGAGCGAGCAACACAGGAGTAGCCGGGGGGTTGGGGAGGGGAGAGAGTAGGGGGAGAACAGGAGGCACAAGGTAGACAGGCAAGAGGAAGAGGCAGAAGAGGGGGAGCAACACAGGCAGGGGGACGAGTGGAGGAGGAGAGCGACGCACTGGTCCAGAAGGAGGCGCTGGGCATGGAGAGGCTGCCGCAGAGGCGGGCATAGAGGAGCGAGGAAGAGAGGGGAGCAAGACAGGAGGTGCGAGGCAGGGCAGGGCAGGGGGGAGGGGTGGGGGAGCGACGCACCGGTCCAGAGGGACGCGTTGGGCGTGGAGAGACTGCCGCAGAGTGACGCTGGCGTGCTGATGGGCGATGCATTTGTTGCCGCCCTCCCCGCCCCCCGGCCTCCCCTGCCCCGCCCCACTGCCGCGAGAAGGGGGCGACCAGGTGGAGAGTTGGCAGGCAGGGACACAGACAGGGCGGGAGGAAGAGGAGAGTTGGAAGGGGCGTGGCGGAAAGAGGTGGGTAGGTAGGGGACCGGGGGGGGGGTGTTGTGGGAGTGGGATGAAAGGTTCTTTAAAACAGGTGGATGGGTTTGAGAAAAGGGGGAAGGTGGGGTTCGATAGAGGCAGGGGGAAGGCAGGGGTGTGGGGGCAGGTATACTTGTATGAAGCGAGCAGCACGGTTAAGCAAATGAGGTACGTGGTGACAAAGATTTCACCAAGGAAGCTGCTACAGCCAGGGCTAGGTGCGGTGCAGAAGGATTCAGCAAGTTTCGCAAGCATGGCCACACTCAGCCACATCAGCCGCCCCAGACTAGCGAAACCTCCAATGCACACAGAGCAGAGCAGAGCAGCACTCACTGGATTTGGTCTCCCTGCGCGCTCCACCATGCCCTCCCCCTCGCCCCTTGGGCACCCCAGCTGGCGGCAGCAGCCGATGACTCTCCCCCTCGCCTCCACCCACCCCTCCTCTCCCCCCGCCCCCACTCCCTCCTCCTCCCCCACCTGTCACCACACTCCCCCCCCCCGCAACCCCACCAGCACCAACCCCATCCGCTCCTCCACCCCCTCCACTCCCCCCTGCCCCTCCTCCCCCAGCAGCGGCAGCAGCATGGATCTTCTCCAGGGACCGGTACTGCAGGCGCACCTCGTCAGCAGCGCCATCGAGAGTGCGCACCATGTACCACCCGTTGAGGCACTGCGTCGTGATGATGGCCTTGCGCCCGATGAAGTGCTCCGGTGTGCGCTTGTTGCCCTTTATCAGCACCACGTCGTTCACTCGGAATGGGAACTGGGCCGTGCTGGACGACCGGACCGGCCGGACAGGTGCAGGATGGGCGGGCTGCTGTGTGCCCGGCTGGGGAGCCTCGGCTGAGGCTCGGAGGCTGGCGGCGGTGACCGAGCCTGGCGCAGCGTAGCTGGTTCGGGCCGGACCAGGGAGGGTTTGGAGCGGGGCAGCGGGCTTGGAGGCAGTGGGAGAGGCGGAAGCGGCGAAGGAGGCGAGGAGGGATGCCCCTCCTCGGCCCCCCATGGGCACTGCTGGTGGAGAGCCGGCTGCTGTGGCTGCGGCGGCGGCAGCGGCGACGGCGAAGGAGAGTGAAGGGGAGTGCTGTGAGGCTGAGGACGCGTGGTGGTGCGCGTGGGTGGGCGTGTCCGCGGATAGCTGGGGGACGGGTTGAATTGGCGGGGTGGAAGAGGGGAGGAGGAACAGTGGGGGAAAGCAGGGAGGCGTGAGAGAGAGCAGATGGAACTGTGAGGGAACAAGCTCACTGCCATGCCACACTCGAGTCGTGGACATGCCTCACAACAGATCCACTTATCTCATTTCACCAGGCAACTCACCTGGGCGGCAGCGGCAGCGGCAGCAGCCATGGCGGCGGCAGCGAGGGAGCTGGACTCGCGGCGGAAGGCAGCGACGGCGGCACGCAGGGTGAGGTTGGGGGTGAGCGTGGCGGCGTCTATGTGTGCGCCACACTCGGGACACGTGCTCTGGGGAGGACAAGTCACGAGGGGGAGTAGGGGATCATAGGCAAGAAGGCAGGAGCAGTTTGGGGACGAAAGGCAGCAAGAGGTGTGATGACGCAGAGAATCCGTGATGGCAGGCGGAGGGTGGAACGTGAGGAGGTAGTGGCGAGGAGAGGAGCCATGTGAACGGTCCAACGGGAAGACGAGCTGGTTTTTGAGAATTCTCAAAAACCAGCTCGTATTGGGTGCAGCAACGCCTGAGGCATGGCACACATGCGAGTGGGTGCAGTGTGGTTGGAAAATGATTGTGGAGCGGAGTGGAGTGAGAAATTGGAAGGTGGAGTTGGAAGGGGGGTGGGTGCTCACTGATTCGCGCACAACGGCCAGCGTTGCCCCTCCGAAGGAATGGCCGCAGCACCCCACCACGGCGTCATCAAGCAATCGACCCCTGTGTGCACATGCGGATACACACGGATGCACACACACATACGCACACACACACACGAACACACACACACACACACACACACGCGCACACACACACACACACACGCACACACACACACACACACACACACACACACACACACGCACGCGCACACACACACATGCCACACAAAGACAGGTCCGACAATTGGTGCCATCAGATACAGGCAGCTTGTATGCAACTTCCAAGCTGCAACCTTTGAAAAGCAAGGTAAACGCAGCAGACAGTCACCAACGCCCAACAAAGACACATGGACCGTTCAGAAGCCATAAAGGTATGTGTGCTGGCGAAACCGGAAAACGCTTCATTTCAAGCACTCTGCGCGACATAACAGAGTAACGGAGTCACACTGTGCCCCTCATGCACTCACATGCAACAGTAGGACTGAGCATTCGCATGAGTGGGTCGCTGCACTCACGTGAGGGGGTCATTGCACTCACATGCAACAGCAGCAGTGAGCACTCACGTGAGGGGGTCACTGAGCACGTCCCTGAGTCGGGGTTCATTGGAGGCGGCGCCTCTGCCAGTCCCCGTGAGGCCCGCCAGTGCAGCCGACAGCTGCGCGCTGCTGCCCCCGGCTGCTGCCAGCGCTGCTGACAGCTGCGCCCCCGCTGCTCCCCCTGTCCCCGCGCCACCCCCTGCTGCTGCGGCCGCAAGTGCTTCTGACAACTGTGATGCACTCTCCGCTGCACCTCCTCCGCCTCCCCCTCCTCCTGCGCCTACTGCTGCAACTGCAGGGTGCTGCGCGCTGCTGCCTGCTGCCCCTGCGCCTACTGCTCTCGCTGGCGACAATTTTGTTCCTGTACTCGCCACAGCTCCTGGTCCCACCGCTGGTGCTGCAGTGAGAGAGGCCATGAGCTGGGCGGAGGCAGCACCCCCGATCAGTGCGCCCTGCTGCTGGCCCGTGCTTGCTGCCCCCACATGACCTGGCGCGACCCTACTTGTGACTAGCTTCGTTGCAGGATTTCTAACGGGGCTTGTAACAGGATTTGAAACGGGGCTTGAAACACGATTTGAAACGGGGCTTGTAACAGGATTTGATACTGGACTTGTAACGGGACACGTAGCAGGTTTTGCAGCAGGGCTTGAAACAGGTGAGCAAGTGGGGGCAGTCAGCTGAGTGGCATACAGAGCAGACGCAACAACGAAATCCGGTGGGGGAGAAACACAGGTGGCAGACGGAGCAGCAGCAAGCGACACAGAGGAAGGATCTGCAGCAAAAGACGGCTCGCTACAAGTAGGATTTCGAGGGGAACCGTTCTGCACCGCTTGGTGCAGCACTGCTCCTTGCTGCACCGTTCCTTGTGCTACCATATGCTGATGCGCACCGGAGGTGGGCGGCACTCCCCATTCACCATTGCCAACCCCAGCAGCAGCAGCAGCTGCTGCTCCTCCGGGCGCCACAGCAGCAGGAGGAGTTGCATGGGGCGTGTTGGCAAGAGAGGCGGTGAGAGCAGGAGCAGCAGGAGCTGGTGCCGCAATGCCCGGTGGTGGTGGTGTGGGTGGGGACGACCCGCCCTGAGCAGCAGATGCAGGTGCTGGATCCACTCCCGCGCCCACACACTCTCCCCCCAGAGAATTTACCACACAGCGTTCCCCCTCCGCCCTGGCTTGTGGTGAGGAGAGGCCTACAGAGCCTACATTGGGTGGCCGTGCTGATCTGAAACCATCTGCTTGTGATGCGACTGGATCCTGTGCCTGCACTCGCTGCTCATGTTGCTGCTGCTGTTGCTGTTGATGTCGTTGCTGCTGCAACTGCAACTGCAGCTGCTGCTGCTGCTGCTGCTGCTGCTGCTGCTGCTGCTGCTGATCGTGCTGCTGCTGGTACAGCTGTTGCTGCAGCTGTTGGAGAGCAAAGGGCGACAGCTCCTGCGTGTGCGTGTGGAAGGTGCCCGCACTTACTGCGCCTGCGCACAAGAGACAGGCGACGAGAAGAGAGAGAACCGAGACGAGAGGCGAGAGAAAGGTGACGAGAAGAGAGAGAACCGAGACGAGAGGCGAGAGAAAGGTGACGAGAAGAGAGAGAACCGAGACGAGAGGCGAGAGAAAGGTGACGAGAGGATTTTCTTAGTCCTGCGTGTGAGCGTGACAGGTGCTCTCCCTTACGTGGACTGCGCACACGAGTCAGGCAGGAGACGAGAGCAGGGGAGAAGGAAAAGAGAGCAGGGGGGAAGGAAAAGAGAGCAGGGGGGAAGGAAAAGAGAGCAGGGGGGAAGGAAAAGAGAGCAGGGGGGAAGGAAAAGAGAGCAGGGGGGAAGGAAAAGAGAGCAGGGGAGAAGGAAAAGAGAGCAGGGGGGAAGGAAAGGAGAGCAGGGGGGAAGGAAAAGAGAGCAGGGGGGAAGGAAAAGAGAGCAGGGGGGAAGGAAAAGAGAGCAGGGGGGAAGGAAACGAGAGCAGGGGGAAAGGAAAAAAGAGCACGTGCCGAAAGAAGAGAGAACGAGGAGCCGGACGACACGAGGGAAGAGAGATCGCATGAATGCGGAACAGCATCGAATAACAGCAGGAAACCCGCGGATCCAGATGGTTAGCATTGGCGAAGCGCAGATCAAACGCCTACTAACAATCCTGCAGCAGCAGCAGGGAAGGAAAGCGCGGATCCGAGACAGCAATCGCGCCTGCCTCACTCGCGGACTCGCTGACACATGGCTAAACGAGGGTTACCACGTAACTAAGGCATTGTGGCTCATGGCTGAGCGAGTTACGTGATTGTGAGCGCATTGGAGCAGCTTTTAGAGAATGTCACGCATGCATTGGCGCGCGAAGAGATCCCTTCTGTCGACATGCCGCGATTAGCATTTCTCCTCAGCACGTCGCTTGCTAAAGGTGCGTGCAGCGCGTCTCGACACCTCGACAGGCTTCGTGAAGTTTTCTTGAATTCCAGGCGCGGCGGTATTGAGGATCGGCCGACGCGACGACAACACGGCGAAACGATGAGAAGGGAACGTCGTCCCGCCCTAACAGGGTCGACGGAACGACTCAGACGCGGACACGACGACAAGACGTCAGGTAACGAGTCCAGTGCTGCGGAGAACGCTGCACTGGCGAGGCCGCGCCACGTCACTGGAGTGGACTCACTAGAGCAGCGCAAGACCAAGCAGCCCCATTCCAGTTAAAGCCTTATTTTCTCGCGGACTCAAACGACGGCTTGTGATGCGCGTTACGCCACTCTGACGACGCACCGGAGACGGATGTCGCGCCGACGACGGCGGGAAAAGACGCGAGCGTGGAGGGACCGTCGAGAGCAGCAGCTTTGAACGACGCTCCTCGCTGTTGCTGTTGCTGCGCGCTACTGTAGGCATGTACGTGCCGTGAGGGGTCGTCGTCTGAACCGTCTGTCGCTCCATTTTCCATATCTTGTTCAAAACACAACCATGGTGAAGGACACGGAAATAGAGAGTTAAATCTGAAGGGTTGAAGCGAGGTTGTGCTTAGATATCTACCTCTCACAAACTACGAGGGTTGGAGATTCGTTGGAGCAGAATGCCTGCGAGAATTCTGGCGGGGATTTGGGTGTGGGGTAAGATACTCTTGCTGCTGGCTGCCGCGCGCTGTCGCAGCTCCGTGCTGCTTTAGCCTGCAACTAACTGCTTTTCTGGTTTCGTTTGTGAATGAAGCTTTCTGTTGGCCTCGCGTTCTCTGGTTCTGTTTTCAGTTAGCCTTTTCGCAGGCAGAACTGGCGCGCCTCCTCTCCCTCCCTCCGTCACTTTTGCAACGCGCTCGGAGCTCCCGAGGCATTGATGCCACGGTGGAATGTGGTGCATGTGGTCGTCTTTTGTTGGTGGGTCCTGCTTGTAGATTTTTTTGCGCGTTGCCATCAGTCAGTCGGATTGACTGAGGATCAACAAGGCCGTCCGTCGAAGAACACGATGAAGACGAAGACGAGACGCAAACGAAGACGGGCAGTTGATACTCGCTTGAGCCATGAAAGGCTACATACTTCAACAATTTTTATTCAACAGTCATTCTGAAATATTTCACAACTAATATTTATTTGGAGTGTATTTCTAGCATTACTTAGTGAGGTGGGGCTCAAGAGCCTCCTTGGCGAACTGCGGGAGAACGAAGGCAGCAGAATGGACCTGCAAGAATAGGATGAGGAAACAATATCAATCATGTCCTTAATAGCTCCATGATATTGGTAGTGTGCAGATGGACCTAAAGCAACAGAGCAAGAAAACCAAGCACAGGTTGTATTCCATAACAAGAGCACTTACTTGAGAGTTGTAGTACTTTAGAGGCGGCAACTTGGGCAGGTTGTCAGGTCGTTCAGGCTGGTCCTCAATCTTGTTGCATGGCACCTTGAAGTTCACCTCTGGCCCCGGGGTCGAGCACACCATGAAGCCGATTGTGCCACTGCATGCAACCAGAACGCATGAACAGAAGGACCAACTCAGTAAAGACAAATGAAAACAAATGAAAATAATTTAATAGGTGAAAAACATGCAGGTCAAGTGGAACCCTCATCTAACAACAACCCCTCCCCATCCCCAAGTTTCAAACCGGTCATCCCAACCACAGCCACCCAAGCAAGAAGCACTAAGCATACAAGCGCATCAGACCTGGGGTAGGTGGGGACGCTGGTCCAGGCGTAGTTGACGGAGCCCTTGAAGGCGTGGTGGCAGGCGAGGGCAATGTCCTTGATGATGGGCAGATGCAGCCACAGCGACTCCGCCTGCGTGCACACCACGCCGCCCGGTCGCAGCGCGCGCGCCATCGACTCGAAGAAGGGCCGCTCGAACAGCTGCTGCGCGGGCCCTGTGGGATTGGTTGAAAGGGGGGGTGACAGGGGGAAGGGGGGAATAAGGGGTGGAGAAGGGGGGTAGCGTTTGAGGAAAACTTGTCTGGTGCCATCGACTCAAAGAAGGGCAGCCCAAACAGCTGCTGTGCGGGCCCTGTGGGATTGATTCAGGGGAGACGGGACGGGGAGGGGGGTTGGGGGAGGAGGGGATAGGAGCGTTTAGAAATTTCGGACTGTGGATCGGCATGGTGTTTTGAGTCGACCGAGAACGAGTCGAAATACACCCAGAGGAGTGAAGAGTGTGAGAGCAGGAGCAGGGCGGTGCAGTGGCGTACCGATGGGATCGGAGGAGTCGACGATGATGGCGTCGTACGTGCCCTCTGGCACCGCCTTGAGGAACGCCACTCCTGGGTTGCACACGCGGTGGAGGGAGGGTGGGGAGAGGGGAAAGGGACATGAGAGTGGGGAATTCATTGGATGGACAGGATATTGTGGACGTGTGTGGGGGAGAAATGGTGGCCACGGGCGAGGGAGGCAAAGGGAGCATTAGGGGTTGCGGATGAGACGTGTGGTGGCAAGCGAGGGTGAGATAAGATAGGGTTGATTCGATGTGTGGGTGGGCGACGAGGCGAACTGTGTCGAGAGGAGATGAAATATACACACTGATGCTCACATTGATGCGCGCTGACACACACACATCCACACACACACACACACACACACACACACACACACACACACACACACACACACAATGTGAACACCAATGCCCTGCAGCATGCATGCAGGTGTGATGGAGGCTCACTCACAGCACCCCCAGTTACGTTGGCGCGCGGGTACTTCTTTGTACCCACTGGCCGTACTGAGCATACCATGCCATGCCATGGCACCTAGTTTCTTCACAGCATGCCCACACACGTACGCACACGCACACTGCTGCAGCATGCATGCACTGCACACAGCTGTCGCCAGCAGAACTCACCGTCGCCCACTGTGACATTGACGCGTGGGTCCTTGTAGCCAATGGCCACCGCGGGGAAGTGCTCCTTGGACACCTGGGGGACGCACAGGGGCGGATGTGGGAGACGATGGGCAGTGATGAGAACAACTGCGGCTAGAGAGGCAATGGGTGATGAGAGTGGAATTGGAGGAGAGGCTGGGGATGCGAGGGGGATGAGTAGAGACGGCATGTGGGGGGGAGGGGGGGGGCATGTGAGTGACGTGCAGTAGACTGTAGAAGTGGGATGATGGATCATGGCATGTGGCCTTGATGATGGGGAACGGATTGTGAATTGAGGGTCTGATGGCACATGGCATGAGGCGTTGAGAAGGGAGCATGGGCATCAGGTCGAGTGAAATCATCAGGTTGAATCAGGCGGTTGATCCTGCATGCATAGTTATTCTTAGAATCATCAGCTGCCCATGGTAAGAAAATAATCACAACAATCAACAAGATAACAAAGCAAAGAGGAACAACAACAATGCAGCACAGAGCATTGTGCACGGAGCATTTGTTCATGGAACATGGGGAAAGGAGCAGAGAGCAAGTGGGCACAGGGAATGTTTTCACGGGCATCAGAGAAGGTATTATCATCAGCTGGAATCAGGTGGTTGATCCTGCATGCATAGTTATTCGTAATATCATCAGCTGCCCTTGACCAGAGGCAACCCCTCTGCTGGAAAGGCTTACAACACAATGAGGTGCAAACAAGGACAGACGGATCATGTGAAAGGGAGCCGAGGGAATGGAACGCATGGGGCATGGAGTTAAGAAGAGCGAGCATGGGCATCAGATCGGTGTGTGATCATCAGCTGGAGTCAGGCGGTTGATCCTGCATGCATAGTCAGAATCATCAGCTGCCCATGTGCGTGCATAGGAAGAAAAAAGAAGCTCTTCAGCCTCCCAGGACTCGCAGCAAGCACGAGAGAATGGAGTGAGGCAAAGAGTGTTGAGTATTATCATACATAGTGGGTACGTGCAGTGCATAAGGCGTGGAAAGTAGGAAAGAAAACGCAGGAAGGGAACCCTGGGAAAATGGGCATCAGCGGAGACTAGGTCATCAGCTGGGTCAGGCGGTTGATCCTGCATGCATTATTAAATTGAATTCGTCAGCTGCCCGAGAAGAAACAGAAGCTGTTTATCTCAATCCGTACGATCATGCAGAAAAGAGGACTGTGAATAGAGAGCAGAGCAATACGCATGAAGAATACGAGATGGGCCATATGGAATGGTGCATGGGCATCAGATCGACATTAATCATCAGCTGGAGTCAGGTGGTTGATCCTGCATGCATAGTTAATCCTTAAGATCATCAGCTGCCCATGAAAAGAAATCATTCCTCGGCTTGACAGAATCACACAGCAAAGAGGTGTGCAGAGCGGTGCAGAGGGAAGTGTGGATCGAGCGTCGTGCATGGGGCATGGAGAACAGTACAACGAGCGGACAGGGAGTGGAGCATGGGCATCAGATCGGTTGGGTGTGGTCATCAGCTGGAGTCAGGCATGGTTTTATAATCAGCTGCCCGTGTTTATGAGTATTTCCTCCGTTGTACAGGGACACAGTAAAGAGGTGTAAAGAACGGCGCAGAGAGAATTCTGCATGAGACAGGGCATGAGCATAGAAAGCAGAGCATGTGGGCACAGGGAATGAGGCATGGGCATCAGATCGAGTGTGATCATCAGCTGGAATCAGGCGGTTGATCCTGCATGCATAGTTCTTCGTTAGATCATCAGCTGCCCTGCCCATGCGTGGAGCCGAGGACAGTCTCTCCGGCTCCCAAGACACGGTTTCGAGCCCCAATCAAGACACGGTTTCGAGTCCCAATCAAGACATCTCAAATAGGTCCCCAGGATAAGGCTCCAGGTGATGAGCGCAAGACAAGGAGCATTAGGGGTTGCCACGTGCTGGCTTCAAGGGGTGAGGGCAGAAAAAATCACTCAGTAGATCGACTCACGTTGATGCCCATGTGCTCTGACTCACATCAATGATCATGCCGTCGATCTCAACCGTCGATCTCAACTCACATCAATGACCATGCCGTCGATCTCAGCCGTCGATCTCAACTCACATCAACGACCATACCGTCGATCTCAGCCGTCGATCTCAACTCACATCAATGACCATGCCGTCGATCTCAACAATGTCGATCTGCTCCACCCCCACGTGCCGCGACACCTCCCTCAACACGCCGCCGTCGCCGCCCCCCACCACCAGCACCTGGCCACAGGAGGGAACAGATCGACAAGCAGAGGTGAATCACAAAATCGGATAATCATTCATTTATACATTGTTCACCTTACATCACGCATTGATTAACGTAAGAGGGACTGGAAACGCACAAAACGTATCGATTGCATGACAGGCATGGAAGGGTGCGGCACCTTCTTGGGGTTGGGGATGGAGCAGAGCGGCACGTGCGTGATCATCTCCTGGTACGCGCACTCGTCGCGCTCCGTGAGCTGAATCACGCCGTCCAGCACCAACACCTTGCCGTACGTCTCCGACTGGGGTAGGCGCCATCCGGGGGAGGTGGGAGTTGCGGAGAGGAAAAGAAGGACAAAATGAGGAAGTAAAACAAATGGATACAAAAGCAGCTGGCTTAGTCCACGGCGTCCAATTGTTACCTTCCCTCCATAAAAACACAGCAGCTGACACCACGAGAACTGGTAACACGCTCCGATCCAACACTAAACCCAGAATACATTCTAGCAGGTTCGATTCAAACCGCCAACCCCGCGACTGGCTATTGAATGTCCTCACCAGGGCATCCTCGCTCTCGACCACAATGCACGCAATTGCGAGAACCCAGCTAGGGAATAAACTGGTTACAATGTGAGTCAGGGTTACAGCGTAACGGCTGGAAGACGGGGATCGAGAATTAACCGGTGGAGAATTGCCACGCGCGGACCTGGAAGATGGCGACGTCTTGGAAGTCGGACTTGCCCTCGAAGAGAACCTTCTCGATCTTTAGCGAATGCGCCTCTCCTGCTCGCACAAAGCCACGTACCGAGACACATGGAATGCGCAAACGTACTTCAGGTTTAACGAAAGGGCTGGTGTTTGCAGAACGGACGCTGGAAGCGCAATGAACGAGCGATGCGGCTGCTGCAGCTAGAGATTTCATTGCGGAGACTAAAACCCTGGGACGAATGCGTGACAGTGTGACGATGACAGTGTCACGACATTTGACGCGGAGAGCATGCAGCAGGATGGAAGGACGTGCAGTGGACATTCAAGAATCTCAGCGGCGCGTCGCTCAAATCAACGTGTTTCCGGATTGGCGGTAGCGTATCGTCTACATCGGCGCGAGCGCCGAGTAACTGACGTCATCATTGAAACGTGATGACGTCAGCGGCACGCACCTGGCCACATAGGGCTGACTTCCGAGAACCATCCCTTCATGACCGTGTCCATGTTGGCGCGCGCCGTGCCCTGCGCCTCCCCCACGTACTTGCCGCCCTGACACGCCAGTACACGAAAAAGAAAGGAAGTTAAGAACGTGCGGTACGTGTTCGACCCGGTGAGCATAGTTATGACGAAACTGTTTACCGGGGAAGACAGGATGTCAAGGTTCCGCAATCACAGGAGCAATGCAGACATTTTCTACTCTTCGTTCGACAGACGTCGGATCTCCACTCACCGCGGCTTCCGCCATGGCGACTCTCCTGCGCGGACGGTGGCTGGAACAGGAAGTTGGACGAGAGCCTCTTGAGAAAACACGGCTGAGGCTGAAACAGAGTCTGGACGCGAACATAAGAGGATTCTGAGCTGAATCGAGATTTATGACTGGTTTTGAAAGGGCTCACAATGACGAAACGTGGGGGTGTGGGTGTGTGGGCTCAGTCTGTGCCAAGCGCCCCCTGTCCAGGTTCGTACCCGATAGCAACATCTTTTCATTGTTACAAAATTTGTGCTTGTCAAAAAAGGAATGGATAAACCTGGAAAATCCAGCCCATGCCTCACTTCTGATTCTAACAACCTGTATGTTAACTAGGGAAGTGTTTTGGATATTAGCCTGAAGCTAACCAGATTTATCATTTTCGAATATTTACTTAATCATTTGTATCTTGGACCTTTTAAGTTTGTATAAGTCCCAAGTTTATTTAATTTTATCAGCCTCTGATTTCCAGCGAATCCTGTTATGAGTTGTCAAACAGAGCTGCGCGGAAAACGAATAATGAAGATGTGACAATCAAAGGCACGATGTAATATAGCGCTCCATCTGTCAGAATGTTGTCTTATGCTCTAGCCTGTAGTGGGGTGCTCTATAGCGAGTACAACCCTTCTAGGGTTTGCTATTTGTATCCTCATTCTTGCTAGTGCAATCCTCTTCTTTCTTTTAAACTTTAACATGCTATCAGAGCAAGTCGATCCCATTGGATCGATCCTGTAGGTGGGTTACTACATCCTCGCTTCCGCTGCAACTTTTTCTTCCCGCCGTGCGCCCCGAGGCGCGCGGCGGTTTTCTGCCCGCCGTGCGCCCCGAGGCGCGCGGCGGTTTTCTGCCCGTCGTGCGCCCCGAGGCGCGCGGTGGTTTTCTGCCCGTCGTGCGCCCCGAGGCGCGCGGCGGTTCTCTGCCCGCTGTGCGCCCCGAGGCGCGCGGCGGGCTTCTGCCCCGTCGTTCGCCGCGTCGCCCTCTGGTGGCGCCGCGACGGGCGACGGGGACCCGTCGCGGCCCCGCCGACCCACTTCGCGGCCCCGCTGCCCCATTTCGCGGCCCCGCCACCCTACGTTCGCGGCCCCGCCGCCCCACTTCGGGGCCCCGCCGCCCTTCTGTCGCGGCCCCGCCGCCCCAACTTCGCGGCCCGGCCGCCCTACACCTGCGGCCCCGCCGCCCTACTTGCGCCCCGGCCCCTTTTCTCGTCGCCCGTCGCGGCTCCCTCGGGGGCCGCTCCTGGGGGAGGGGGGCGAGCGCCGCCATCCCACCCTGCCTACCCGCCATCCCACCCTGCCTGTGTTAGGGTTTGGGGGTGGCAAGTAGGGGGTGGCGCGTATGGGGGTGGCACTTCTTCATTCCTCCCTTTGCTCCTCCTCCTCCTTCGTCTCCCACTGCTGCAGCTGTCGCTGAGGGGGGTGGATGTGTGGGAGACTGGGGTTTAGGGTTTAAGGGGGGTGCGTGGGAGTGGAGCTAGCGGTGTAGCAGCGGGTGTGTGCCAGGGGGAGTGGGATAGTTTGGGGAAGCTGCATGGAGGTTGCCGTCGTGTCGCCAGCAGCACCTGTATTCCGGGGACTTCGCCCGGTAGCCCAGTCGTAGCCAGCTGTGCCAGCCGCCCGTGGGTCCGTTGCTCGTCTGCCGCTACTTTAGCCACGGGGCCAGTTACTCCAGTATTCCGGGGGCTTCGCCCGGTAGCCGCTGTGCCAATCTGCCTCCTGTTGCCCGTGTGTCTGCAGCTTCAGCCGTCGCCTCCTATCTCCTCTCCTCTCACTCTCTCTCCTCCTCCTCACTTGCCCGTTGTGACAACCACTAGCTTTGCTCATAATTGTGAACTTAAACTATTGCTTCTTGAACTTGTGCTCAGAATGTGTGGTGACATTGTGATCCACCCTGAGCTTGTACTGCTTTGCTTGCTCTGCTGATTACACCCCACTTTGGCTATGGGGGTGTGTCAGAATGTTATCTTATGCTCTAGCCTGTAGTGGGGTGCTCTATAGCGAGTACAACCCTTCTAGGGTTTGCTATTTGTATCCCCATTCTTGCTAGAGCAATCCCCTTTTTTCTTTTAAACTTTAACACCATCTAGCTAGCTAGGAACCTTAGGAATACAATGTTAGATGCAGGCTGGGCAAAGGGAACCGAAGACGACGCGAGGTTGCTTCGGAAGCAAGCAAACCGGCTGAACGTGGACTTCCGAAAGTCGGGGTTGTACGCGGAAAGGTAAACCCCAGTAAGGAAAATGGGGGTTTTCCGTTTAAGCACCCCCCCCCCCCCCCCTCTTAAGAAAGGTGGTCAATATCCGCAACACGCTTCCGAGCAAGATAATCACAAAGGAGTGACGACGCATCAAGCGAGGCAGATGGTACCTAAGTGTCAGGATGAGAACTACAGCGGAATGCGTTGTGTTGACAGAATTGGGGTACATCACCTAACCCTAACTAGTTGTACCCCATATAGCCCAACCCACTACAGGCTATAATATTTGACACACCCCCATAGCCTAAGTGGGGAAGGCCAATCAACAACAAGCAACCTACGGTCACAAGACCAGTCAAAAACAAGAGAAAGAAAACAAAGCTCAGGGTGGATCACAACGTCACCACCTAATCTGAGCACAAGGAAAGGGCCACAAGGCCAGTCCAAAAGTGTGCAAACAAATATATATATATAAGGTACAAGCAAGCATCAGACAAAGAGCACCCTACAGCAGTCAACTAGACCCAGTCTCAACAAGGCCTAACTGCAGACAAAACCGACGGTGGTCACAAGGCTGGAGGGCCTTGGTGAAGATGTCTGCAGTGTTGGCCTCGGAGGCCACAAAGTCCAGACGAGCCTGTCCGCGTCCCTGCAACTCTCGAAGGAGGAAGTACCTGACGTCGATGTGCTTCACTCGGCTCTCCTGTCGAGGCTCACGACACAGGAGAATCATCGCCCTGTTGTCAGCAAACAGGGTCGGTGCAGAGCTCGGCCGCTCACCAAGGTCAGTGAGCAAAAAGGTCAACCAGCGTAGCTCCTGAGCAGCAAGGGCCCCAGCGTAGATCTCGGCCTCTGCGGTAGAAGTCGCAACAGAGGAGGACCGAGTAGACCTCCACGAAACAGCTCCAGAACCCAGGCTGAAACAGTAACCCTGCGTAGACCTCTGAGTCTCAACGTCGTCAGCGTAGGAAGAGTCACAGTGACCGGTGAGTACAACTGGCTGTGTCCCTCCAAGTACAAGCCCCATGCCTGATGTCGCGCCAAGGTACTTCGCCACCCTCTTAGCCGCCGCCCAGTAAACAGGACCGTGTCTCCCAGTCGCAACAAAGCGAGACAGGATGCTAAGGGGGAAGGCGAGGTCCGGGCGAGTGCACGTCATCAGGTACATGAGGCAGCCCACCAGCTCTGCGTAGGGACCACTGGGCTCGAACGGCTCGTCAGGAAAAGGCCCAGTGAGTCTGTGGTCTACAGCAAGAGGAGTGGGGGCAGGAGAAGAGTCCTGAAGCCCGAACCGCTGAAGAACCTGCTGCACCATGTGTGACTGAGTGAGAGTGATGGTGCGAGCGGCTCTGTCCCTGGAGATCTGCAGGCCAAGGTAGCGGCGCAGTTCCCCAAGGTCAGTGCAGGTGTGTCTCTTCTGCAGTTCGGACTTCACCTCTGCCAGTGCAGCTGTGTCGGCCGTGGCAAAAACCAAGTCGTCAACGTAGACTAGGACGAAGAAAGGTGTACGGCCACGACGAACAAACAGCGACGGGTCGGCGGAAGACGGCTCAAACCCGAGGTCGGAGAGAGTAGAGCGGAGAGTGTCGTGCCACTCACGAGGTGCCTGGCGGAGACCGTAGACCGGTCGTCTGAGGCTCCACTGGGTCCCAGGCGGGAAAGTGCCAGTGAAGCCCGGAGGACGACGCAGCCAGATCTCCTCGTGTAAGCAGCCCTGGAGGAAGGCAGTGGAGAAGTCAAGAGAGTGTAGCTCGTAGTCTCTCTGCGCTGCTACGTGCAGTAACACCCGAAGAGTGGTCATCTTCGGGGTGGGCGCGAAGGTCTGAAAGAAGTCAACCCCCTCGCGCTGACTGAACCCTCTAGCCACGTAGCGTGCCTTGAAGACTGGGGGAGATCCCGGCGGCCGCTTCACCTTGAAGATCCACATGCCGTCAACAATGTTCGCCCCTGGGGGGGAACCTCGTCAACGTAAGTGCCTATGGACCTGTAGGAGGCCATCTCTGCGTCCATGGCAGCTCTCCACTGAGAGGCCCAAGGCCCTGACACTGCCTCAGCGTAAGTGCGAGGAGTAGGTATGTCAGGAGCGTCGGGGTCTCCCTCAGGAGTGAGCAGCATGGCACAGAGATGAGGCGAAGCAGCTGCCAGGAACTCTAGCTCAAAGTGTCTGTCCTCTAGGACGTCACAGCCAAGGGCACACACACCCCCGGCGGACAGAGGACGGACAAGAGGAGCTGCCACAACTCGAGTGGCGTAGTCAAGGCAACGCGTAGCAGTAAAGTCAGTGACAGCGGCAGTGAGGACCGCGACGGAGGAAGGAGAGGCACGAGGGTCTGTAACAAGAGAGGCGAGAATACGAGAGAGAGTGGGGCGGTACGTGCGGTAGTAGTCAGTGACCGGAGTGGACAGGGAGGCAGTGAGGGAAGACTCAGGAGGACGAGGAAGGACAGACGGAGGAGAACGAGGAGGACGAGGACGAAACAACACGGTACGGAGGTCAGTGACAGGGGACGAGGGACGAGCACGAGGAGGGCGAGAGGCCCAAGTGTTGGCGAGAGGAGGGGGGGACGGAGGAGACTGAGAACGAGGGAAGACAGCCGGAGTGGAGTCTGGAGGAGGAAACGTGGTACCGAACACAGGAGGAGAGGAGGGGAGACCAAGGGCCCGAAGGCCAGAAACA